AGGAGAGTTGGAAAACCCTGATTACAAACCAGTGGTGCACATGGGCTCCAGTATCCTGACGAAACAAATGGAGTATGAACCAGTTATTGGTCACCGGCTACCATGTGACTGCATCTTCTGACGTTGCTCCACTGCCTTGTGGATCAGATCTTTAAGTCGAAGGCTCCGGGTGTGGCTCCTTAAGAAAACCACCTGCTTCGGTCTGGTCACTTGGGTAGTATCACAGCTCACACACAAATCGAATGATTTATATGGCGCATATCTATTTGGTGCCTCCTTGTACCAATATTTGTGTTCAAATAAATAAATAAATAAATAAACACACAACTTCGTCGTCAACGTTAACGCCTTAACAGTACAGAGGTAACTTATCTAAAACCACTTGAAGAAAAGCCGTTACCGGTAGTAATCTCTTTGGCACTACGGCTATGCTCCCAAGTGATAAAGAGTACTTCCGATTCAGTTGCCTTTTCAGGATTCTTATAGTGTTACATTTTATTCATATAGACCATACATCTATCTTTTTGAGTAGTGATAAGAGGATATCTGAGGAGCGCTTGACGGTAAAGTATATAACTGAAGTATGATTGACTATTTTGTATCCACTCTTATAAATGATTGTGAACTTTGAACAGCCATGCTCATGGATGGTTTTGTGTTTTTTGATGATCTCGTCGCATTAGCTATAGATACTATGGTTTGGTTCAAGGTATTGTTAAATATATGTATACTTGGCTTTCATTTAATTCGTTTATCCAACTTATCGGTTGTCTACCTGCTCCCTATTACAACGGAAGCAGACACAATACTAAAGGTGTTTAAACCTATCAAACTAATCTAGGTAATTTAGTAATTAGGAGTAAGCTACTACTAAGACCTTAAGTAAAGTATACTGTGACAATGTGGACGTGACAAGTGATGATCGCCCTCATGCCTCTAACAGCACACAAGATTGCCTTTTTCATAATCAAACCCTATCTTCATTACACAAGAGTTCTACTAGTTCCACCATATACCTTCATCTTCTGTCCTTGACTTCTTTCATATGTCCCACCGATGCTAACAATTGCAGTCTACAGAATGCTACCCCAGATCTCTTGAAATCCTACTTCAAAATACATGTTGGGGCTTTCAAAGTCCGAACCCTATGTTAAATCGGACGACAGGTGTCACTAGCTAAGGTACTAGAGTCTTGTATTCCTGATCCATAGTGTTTACGAAACTGTGAGTACAGTCCACAGGTGAACTCGAGGAAGCTCTAAGAAGCTCAAGAAAAGCTGAAGATATTCCATCCAATCATCTTTTGGAAGAATATTCCAGAATCATTACGTGTAGCTTCCCTTACCTGGCAGTTTTGTACCATAATTGACACTTGGTAAATAAAGAAGAAGCGGATTGCGCGAAGAAATTTCTTTTCAATTAGTTTTTCATCATGGCTCTACACTAATATATATATATATATATATATATATATATATATATATATATATATTTATATGATTTACAATAATGATATAATACTCATCGAGTGGATACGTTACGTAATAATTACATAATGACATTTAAATTAACTATTTTGTATACTTCTTCCACTTGTTTTTTTGTTTTTTTACTTTTGTTTGTTACTTTTGAACTTTAGAACTTCTCAACATTCATCTCTTGATTCTTACGTAACTAGTATTCTATTGACCATCCATTAAAAAATTCAGTTCTTTCTCTCTTTTTCATATATTACGCAATATAGCAACGTCTTGATTTTGAATAATTGCTTTGATTATATGTGAAAATTATATTTGAAATATTCTCAGCGATTGAAATTTAACTAATTCCAACGTTTCGTCCAGCTAACTTGTCTGGACGAAACGTTGGAATTAGTTAAATTTCAATCGCTGAGAATATTTCAAATATAATTTTCACATATAATGACTTCTCTATACTCGGCGCTCAATTACTGTCAAACTATTCGTTCTAATCTTGACGAATATTCGTATAAATTACTTTGATTATTAATAATTCTCTTTCTTCCAATTACTCAATGTTAGTTTAAATGTCATTATGTAATTATTACGTAACGTATCCACTCGATGAGTATTATATCATTATTGTAAATCATATAAATATATATATATATATATATATATATATATATATATATATATATATATATATATTAGTGTAGAGCCATGATGAAAAACTAATTGGAAAGAAATTTCTTCGCTCAATCCGCTTCTTCTTTATTTACCAAATGGCAAAATGGGAATTTTCACTATAATTGACACTGTTTGGAATAACACTCCTTTCACTTGTTTTCTGTTTTCTCATTTGCGACTTGGGAGTGTTCAAGAGTTCGAGTGCTCAAGTCATAAGCAGTATATTAAGAATCTAAGCTCTAGATATAACCGAAACATATTGAGGATCCCAGCATGGTCATCAACTTGACCTGAACTAGCCAGTATAGAGAGCCAACGCGAATTATTTCACGTGCATTTGCGGACGCGACAGTAAATTCTCGTGATTTGCCGGTATATATGTGGCACTAAGTTCGAAAGATAAACAGATACTTTTTGATTAGATTCCTACTGGCAGCCGCTTATATCTGGTCTGTCTCACTGGAATAGTAAGAAGTCTGTGAGATAGATATACACGTGCCACTTCTACCTAAAGCCCTACTAACTGCGGCTCCGATGGAAATGAGTTTTACAGGAAACTGCATAATCTACTTCAGAAAAAAACAGGAGCTCAGGAGTGATAATCTCAACAAGTGATTTTAACATCCAAGGTGGTAAACTGTGTCAGACTGAGAAATACTTAGGTGAGTCTTATGGCATCCCAGCTCACCATACGGATAACGATATCTGTGTAGGCTGTAGGTTTTTGATCATAGCTAACCTCTAAACACTGTTCGTGTTTTATGGAGTGAATGATGAAGTTAGTTATAGGTACTACGCAAATAGATTGGTGAAGTTGTAAATCTTCATTGACTGAGAAATTTAGGGTGTGTCACGTATGTCTAACAACCGCCTCGTTCGATGAGCGATGTTTACTGGTGTAGGAGTAGATTGAAAGAAAACTATGGATAGCCAAATCAAGAGATTTCATCAGTTCATGAAGTCAATTAATTTTGGCTTGATCCGTTTTTGTAGGTGCAGACTACCTGTTTGATGTCCATGCAATAACTCCTGTCAATGGTTCAAAATTGTTCACAACGAAGCAGATGTATTCACCCCTAATCGTCCTCTTGATCTTGAATTCCAGTACACAATCATACACAACACCTCTCTGCTTTTCCTTTTTGTTCTATATACCTAATGTCCAGTCACTCCTAATATCATTCTTCCTATATTATTTTGATCTCTTTTGGTATTCATCTTACTTCCATCTCGTCGTGCTAACATGTTAACTTGGGGAAATACACACTTTCCCCAGATTGTACGTTGATAATGGCTAACTGTTGAAATTTGTGTAGACTGACAAGCCTTCAAGGAAGACATGTTTAAGTAATAGTTTACCCATTTTCCAATCCATAATTAGTAAATAATCTCACCATATATTTAACGATGGTATAAATATCCTTTATCGTAACTCCATTCAGTTTTCCCTGTAGTTACGTTGACGGTAAAAAAAGAAGTTAATATTGCACCATCAGTTTGAGTTTGAGAGTAAACAGAATAATCAGCTCCTTAGCTACCTTGATGTGGTGGTCGGGCTTGCCTATCGTGGTGAACCAATCGAGTTATACTGGCTGGAACAATAGTTCATCAAGGTCCTACCATGCCAGACAGGTCGGTTGAAGAACGGTAAAATTAAAAGCGGCAAACTAAAGTCCGAAGGCGAAGTCGTACTGCTGACTATACAAAGGTTTGACGGCAAGAAGCTATTTCCCTCAGAAAACCAGCATAACAACGATGCTGCCTTCACACAAGGAGGAGTAGGGTTAGAAAAGGTCGACCCTAATAATGCACATCTCGCCTTATCCCACGGATATCCGTCTCCAGCGGTAAGGTCTCAACAAGTACGGAGCTAACACGAAAATTACCCACAAAAAGGTCGTGTGTAACCGACCTCAAGCAGTTATTTCTTGGACATTGCGATCACACTTTCAGGTCACTAAGACGACCTTTAATCTAATTTCCTCTTCAGGAATCTCCAGGAGAAGCCTTCCACTGTATGGACAATCAGGAAGTGATTACCGCCCACATACCTTTAACAGCACTCAAGACAACAGATTCATTAGCAATCGATAACAAAAATGAATATTATGATGCAAATCACTATACGACGATATTTATTAATAACCTTGTAGCAAGCCCATTCAACTATTGTATCATTTTTATCAGAATGTGTTTTGTGGAGATTTTTAGAAATTTTCACAGATTGAACTCATGAGGCAGTTGAAGCTAGACCACCATTGAAAACCTGGAAGCACTGGACGGCCGTTTCGTCCTTGTATCATTTGTCTACTCACTGTAATTCACACACTTAATTCACTATGTTAATTTCTGTGTGTGTATGATTGAGCGCGTGTCTGCACATCAACCTCAATCTATTCTCCTATTGGTTGTAACATACAGATACTCAATAATTTATCCACACTTGATTCACACTCAAACATTTATATGGATTCTTGACACACACACACACACCCAAACCACACACACACACACTCACATATACTGTCGTGGTTTCACAGTGTGCTTGCTCGCTGTACGCTCGTGGATTCTATTTATGTTTAACAATGAAAAAATACCTGTACAACTGGTGTTCAGGCTCCTGAATAATCTCGAGTAAATCCATAATTGTACTAGGAGATTTAGCCTACCTTAAATACTCAGTTAACAGGATATCATTTATTGGAGTCAGATATAGAGGAAATGAGCGTCAGCAACCTTAATAGGATAGGTATATTAACTAACCTATAAAATCATGTAATGTAAAATCTAGAGTAATTAATTATAGAGAAAGAGATTTCAACGGTTAAATTGAGGAGAATATCTACTTACCCAAATATTGTGTAAGTGCGAACGGTACCGGTGCTTTATTATATCCTGTATGAGGATCAGACAAGTTTGATTCACTCAGTTGGGTTGCACTGCTTTCTGTATACACGTCCACAGGTTGGTAATGACATGTGTATGTAGGAAATCTTTTATCATTCAATCCAAACTGAGTTGGTGTTAGTTGGGATTTCACATGTGTTACAGTGTGATCGTGTAAAACATTCATATTGTGACTTAATTTATCAAGTGAATATCTACGTGTATATTTTAATTTATTGTTATTCGTTTTGCAAGAATTAGAATGCACTGATGGGGATTTATTACAGTTTCCCGAATCCATAAAGTTATCTTGCATTCGTTTTCGCAAGGCTATTGTTCGATTGTTTGAATTTTTAAAATTCGTAACATTTAATGATGACGAATCATCACTTAACATTTGTCGACATTTACGAAGTATACGACGATTAGCTACGCTATTAGGATGGTCCTTATTTATGACATTAGAATCGCATGTGTCATTGGAGTTTTCAGGATTACTCAATCTATTGGGCGTGTTATCACCATTACATGGAGGTTTGATTTTAACACTGACTGGATGGTTCTGACCACTTGGTGAATTAGATATTTTGAATTTAATACGTATATGAAAAGAATCCTCATGTTTATCTGTAAGAAAAAAAAGTGAAAAATAAAACTGGTCACAAGTTACTAACCGATATGGTGTTTAAACCTCTAAAGCCTATCAAAAATTGATAGGCCGAATTAACCGCATATGCGCGTTAGTGTGATATTTACATTTATTTTCTTAAAATTACTAAATATTTAGCTTAGATCTTACGCTTTAATTAAACTGAAACCCACGCAGCAATTCAGCTTAAACATGACTAAATGTTCATTCTTCTATGAGTTGTTTGTAAACATGCTCAGATGCTTTGATCGAAAGAGATATATATCCTATTGTGAACCAACACTATTTAGAGAAACATTAGAAACAGGTGAACAGTGAATGAGCAAAACATCTGGAACTTCTAAGTTAGTCAGTTGAAAAGTATATCATGGTACGTATGTACATTGATTCAAGTCGCCATACTCCATTAGCACAGTGCGACGAGACTGTCAGGAGAAATCGTGGAATAGTGAAGGTAGTAACAATTTCAGCGATACTATGAAAGTGTAGGCATCGAAGATACGACTCGAAAAAAAATAAATTGGTGAAACAAAAACGAACTAAGCCATGAAGGATTTAGAGTCTCATAGATTTGGGGAAGAAAATGAATAGACACACCTGAGCCATTGCAAAAGATCTTCAGCCATATCATTCAAACTCTCTAACCATTGGTTACGATAATCACACGGACCCTAACAAGGTAGTTTGTACCTATTAATATAGCTAGGTCCAATCATAAGTGACGTCATGGAGTGGTTCCATGTTTTGATTTGGCCGTCCCTAGCTTTCTTTCAGCCCACACTTCTAAGTAGTGCAAACCTACAATCTCATAACGAAAAATACCTTATATATTTCATTCAGTTAGTCATGAACCACAAATTATAATTATTTCGCGGATCCTAACTAAAAAGTCTGGATCTAGTGATATAGATAACCAGACATTGAGTGACTTTGTGCGCTGATATAAATATATGAAGTTATATAGATTCAAGGATTATCTACTATCTGCTACAATATCGTGTTTTACAAAATAATTCATGCAAACAAATGTACGCATACCGTAATAAAATACTGTCAATTTTAATTAGTTTGCACAGATTTTCGTTGTGAAACTTGGGAGTAAAGACAAAATGATATGATAATAATAATGGTTTTCTTCCCAAATACTTCTTTTGTTATTCAACACTTGAGAAGATAAATTTAAATATTTCACGCACCTTGATGATGATTATATACACAAAATACAGTAGGTATATAAAAGTGTTAATCAGTGAGGGTTTGTACAGATATTTAATCCACGAGTTGGTTATCTCCCCTTATATGGACAAACATGAATACACCTAAACATAACCTAACATATCCAATATCAAATTGGCATCGCAAGTAATCAAAACTACACAGATAACGCATTAATAGCACTAATAAGCAAGATATACAATTTACGTATCCTAGTTTCATTCAGAAACTCCAACTATCTAACATCATGTACAACAATATAAATGAGCTGTTACTGACGTGCATTGAACCGTTTATAGCTCCAAGTCGAATATTCAAAAACCACAGTTCCGTTTGTTCTTTTATTCTTATTTACTCAAAAGACAATCTTGAAAAGAAAAGTTATTTTATGATTCTGAAGGAGATATTTAGTGAAGCTCGGTGGCTGGAATTGACTATATGCTTTTAGACTGAGCTATTATTGACTGACTTCTGTAATCACTTGGGTAGCCAAGTAGGATAATGTTCGGAGATGAATTTTGAAAGAGCTCGCTTTGTGAGGTCAATATAACCTGCTCCACATGAGCAACTAAACTGATAGATGCACATTGATTTAGTCCAAAGCGGGCGCTTATCTTCAACATAATTTCGGATCAAAGGCCGACTAGAAAAGATAATGAGAAGTTCAAATGAGTAGTACGTTTTCTTCAGAGATCTTGAAAGTCTGTTTTTCAGAACTTCTGCTACAATGCCTCCTTTAAACTGAATGATCATGAAGAGAGTGTTCTTTGGTGCTGCGGACATTCCTTCACGTTGTTGTTTTGGCTTCAGATTTTTTTCAATGAACCAGTGTCTGCCGTAGTTTGTCAAGTTCGTTATCGTTTGTATCCTCGTTACAGATGCGTCTAGCCCTCGAACAGAGAAAATAGACCAGGTTTCTCTTTTGCTTCAATGGGACCCAGCTTTGGAAATCCGTGTATTGACCACACCACATATCGGTCTCTGTAGGGAACCGTCAGGTTTCATTTTTACCAAAACATTTAATAAGTGGAATTCCAAAGCTGACTCTAGTACCATCGTGAACTTAATTGCCTGATGAGTTATCGAACGCGGCCAGAATGTTGCTGACATTGATATTTTTGTCACAAATAATGAAAGTCTCCTCTAAGTATCTCTTGTACAGATGGAAGCCATCAATTATTAACCACAGTGTTTTCGAGATTAGCAATGAAAAAGTCAGCTGCAAGTGCGTAGAGTGACGACCCCACAGTTACAGCGTCAGTTTGTCTAAACAATCCATTGTTAAATTTAGACTGTACGCCGCGAGAGCATTCTTTTATTTTTTAATTGAAAACATAAATATTGGTACAAGGGGGCATCAAATATATATGCGCCACACAAAATTATTAGAATAATAAGATAAAAAAGAAGCTAAGGAGCGTATAAGAAAACAGAAGAAGAACGATAACTCAGTGCAGTATTAGTCATAGTAATAATAATACCAATAATAGCAATAATAATAATAATAATATTAATAATCGTAATGATGGGGGAAACGGAAAGGTACAATCGGAAGAATTTTTCAGTTAAGGAAGATACAACCATTTTTTTATGAAGAAAGTAAAAGAAGGTTACAGCACGATCGCCACTGGCTTCTATTCTGAGCCATATCTGATAACGTCTCTAGCCACTGTGTCGCGCCATCTCTAGGACCCTAGCCAGGGAGTCGTGAAGGACCAACACAAGCCAGCCTCTTGCAGCTTTCTTTCATACCCCGACACCATGTCATACACTGACCACCTCTCCGCTTTTTCCAACCAGTTCCAGCGTCCGCAAATAATGCACGACGTGGAATTCTCTGGGACGACATTCGTAGAACATGTCCAAGCCACCGAAGTCTGTGTTTCAAGATGGTGACACCAATTGCACTATCATCTCTGTGCCAGAACACACGATGCCGAACCTCTGCATTACTAACATGGTGTTGCCACTGGATGTCAGCAATCCTTCGGAGACAACGATGATCAAACACAGAGGGTCGTCTGACATCCTCAACTCCGAGAGGCCAGGTTTCACAAGCATAGAGCAAAACTGCTCTCACCGACGCGTTTGTAGATCCGACCTTTTACAGCCAGACTAACATCACGAAGGTGACAAAGATGGCACAGATTGGCATAAGCCGCTCTGGCTTTCACTATACGTGCACTGATCTCATCACTCACACCACCACCAGCACTTATGCAGCTCGCCAGATACACGAACTTCTCGACTACTTCTATCTGCTCACCAACCAGGGTGAGTACAGGATTAGAATCCTGCCAGTCTTGTAGAAGTACTTTGCACTAAGAAGATGCAAAGCACATAACATACCTACGGACACTGATTGCCAACTGACTAAGTGCGGATTGCATGGCTTGGGCCTTTAGGATGTTAATAAACTTCTCAGGCACAGACTTCTTCAATAGACAATCCCAGAGAACAGTCCTGTCCATCGAATCGAAGGCAGCCCTAATGTCAAGAAACACTACGATTGCTGGCCTTTGATAAGTATGACGGTGTTCCAACATTTGGCGGAGGGTGAAGATATGATCAATACATCCTCGACCAGAACGAAAACCAGCCTGCTCCTCGCGAGTCAATCTTTCTCGGGTTTTGAACAACCTACGGAGTATGACGGAAGCCAATAGCTTGGACGCAGTCGGAAGTAGACTTATCCCCCGATCGTTGTTACAGGAACGACGTGAACCCTTTTTAAAGATAGGGACAACTATCGACTCATTCCGTGACATTGGTACACTCTCCAGCTCCCAAACCTTTGTAAACAACGTC